GAGAGTATAATGCAAAATTTCATGACAATCTAACGCTGGGTCAACAAGAATAATAGAACGCGTAGTTCATTCGGATGGGGATCCGTTAACGGAATGTTGGTATAATAATAACTTTTTATTTTCAATTTTTCATGGATACTTTTAAAAAATTTATTTGGGAATTTTCAAATAATTTATATTTACTTTGTTTTCGGATTAACAACCAATAGTTTTTGAGAAACTTTAAATGGACTACACTATACAGTTACATTTTGGTAAACCACAGTTTTTTATAAAGTAAACAGACATGCGCTAACGTGCAGCAGTATTTATTAACAGTTAAACACGCCTTGTGTTTTTTAACAAATTTTGTTTCTAATTTTCATTACCAAAGAAATATTAAAAAAATCCGATGTAAAGACATTGTCAAACTTACAAATTTGATAAATGCATCTTTTGGACTGGAAGCATGAACCAAGTGTATGGATTGTGAAATTTATTATGATTCTAAAACCTGGAAAATTGGTATAAAATATACTTTTTGCTTGTTATAAAATTAATTTTTCCTACGACCACTTAGGAAAGTGACACATATCACACTATATAGACCTATGGAAAGTGCCCTATATCACACGCGTATGAATAAGAATTTACTTTCCACCCAAGTGAGAATATGCTACTTTCCGCAGTAGCTGTCAGAAAATGTCAAACACATAATTTCTCTTTTGATCTATGTAATGTCCATATTAATACTAAAATCGATATGATTGTTAAATTATTGTAAATTAGATCCTAGATATTTATCTTTAACAATTATTTTTAAAATAATTTTAAAATAACTAAGATATATTTGCTTTTTATTCTGGTTAAACACATAAGCGATTAGATCAATCAATTACCGTAAGGCCTGTTAGCTCAGTTGGTTAGAGCATCAACTTTGCAATTTGAGACCGTCCAACGACCGCGATCGAATCCTGGCTGTGCCAAAATTTTTTTTTTATTTTTTTTTTATTTTTTTTTATTTGTTTAGAAATTATGAAAATTTAATAAATACGATTATTGTTGATTATTTTTTTAAATACATTTTAATTATTATAATGATCTGGTTTTACATTTTTTGATGAAATTATTTTGTGGTCGTAGGAAAAATATTGTACATCACTTGTGTGAAAAGTGATTTTCCACACTCGTGTGATAGTCGCACTCGGCTTACGCCTCGTGCGACAATATTTCCCACTCGTGTGAAAAATGTCACTTTCCACACTCGTAATGTAATATACTATATTATAACTAATGAAAAAAAAAAAAAGATTTACTAAGCTCAATCAGGAGGGGTCGGGTTATAATGCAAATAAAAGCCAGGCTATATGGAGTATTTCGTTCCTTTTATTATATTTCCTCCTACAATTTACGATTAAAAAGTTGTAAACCCTGACCAAACGTCAAATATGTACCCCGTGCCTAACTTCTTAAAGATGTTAAAATGGAGGTTAGAATGGCGAAAATACTTTTTCTATGAAATATACCAAAAAAATAAGGGCCTCCTGTGATATTTACCAAAACAATTCTAAATATGATTATGGTAGTTGCCCCTCAAGTATGTACTTTTGGTTCACAGGTAAGGATTAGAAATACCGGGTCATTCTATATGGGCGGAACACTTGATTTATGGCTTAACTATGACTTGTACGACAATTTGACTTAGATAAAAGTTTTTATACATTTTATGTACCATTTATTGACGTTTACAGATTTCCCGCATCGTAATGATTTTCAAGATATGACGTCATCGGGCAATATTTTAAATGGATCACCCTGTATTTATATTATTTTTCGAGTTTGTATAATCTGTCTGATTTCATCAATGGTACATTAAGTGGGTCCCAGACCTATTTAAAATATTGCCCGTGACGTCATATGTTGAAAAACATTACGTATACGGGAGATCTGTAAACGTCAATAAATAGTACATAAAATGTACAAAAACTTTTATCCAAGTCAAATTATCGTACGTCATAGTAAAGCCATAAATCAAATGTTCCGCCCATATAGAATGACCCGTTCCGCCCATATGGAATGACCCGGTATATATATATATATATATATATATATATATATATATATATATATATATATATATATATATATATATATATCATGCTATTATTTCTACGTCCATACGTTCTGAATTTACATATCTTTGTGCGTCCTCTCACTTTGGGCGTCCATATATGGACGCAGAAAGTTAAGCCCATGATAATTCATACTAGGAGAGTTGTATCCATCTCTAAATCAACCTGCAAGAATGTACTTTCCACCTTCAGTAAGATGTCCCAAAAAGAAAACTGTAACTTGCTTCACTCGTTTGCAGTGACTTGTTAAATAATTTCTTGAGGACGCAGAATAGGTCATCGAATAGAAAATAATATTCAAGTCAAGTTCAAGTTTTTAACACCACGTAGCGCCACCGTCGTCGGGTGTATATTTTTAATTGTATATTATTATCCATTTCACAACCTTTCAGCGTCTTGCGAAGTGGCAACATCGTATCAGGTGAGTCACTTGTTGCGGGTTCGTTTTATATTTGTAAGACGTGTATTTATTTGTGAACGGTTGTTGAGGCGGTTGGAAGTACGCAGTAGATATTAAATAGGTAAGTGTAGCCCTGTAATACATAAACAATAGATAATATTATGGATATCAAGTTTTATTTAAAAATCAATGCGATGGTGTGTGCATTAAAAGGCAAAATTATTAATATACCTACTTTAAAGTTTTTTTATAGTTTTGGCAAAAAAGTATATTAGTCAATTTAAGACAATTTTTTTTATTACGAAACATAGGTATTTATTTGCGTTTTGTTTCCAATTTGGCAAAAAAGAACACTACTTATGGTCATAGGCGTACACTAAGGTTAGTTTTAGAAGGGTTAAATTGAAAGTTAAAAAAAAAAACAATGTTTCTGATGTCCTCGTGTGGGGTAACAAAAGTTGTTTGCAATTATATTCTCTATAATTATTGACCTATACGTAATTTTCCTAAAATAGGGCGTATTCGAGAAAATTAACAAAAATTGAAAAATTCAGTTTTTAATGGAATATATCTGTTATCTATGCTTGAAAAAGAAACTTATTTAAATAAAAGTGTTTGCAATAATATTCTCTATAATTATTGGCTTATACATAATTTTCTTAAAATGGACCATATTCGAGAAAATTATCAAAAATTGCAAAATTCAATGTTTTAAAAAATGTTTACAAATAAAAGTTCCTTGAGATGTTATTCTCTGTAATTCTGTTTTATGCATGATTTTCCTAAAATGGACCGTATCCGAGATATTTGAGGAAAACTGAAACTTTCGAATTTCAGTTCAAGAACGGAAAAAATACCATATTTAAAAAATTATTTCAAGTAAGATGTATGTGGAAAATGTGTATTTGGTTTATACTCCAAACGTTTACAGGCGTAATACAATAGGTTGTACAATGTACAACAGAAACGGGAAAAGCCTGTAATAACTAGATAGGAAAGTCATGTGTTGGCACATCAGGTTTTTTTTAAAGTCTATTAGCGATTTAATTTAAACTCAATATTTTTCAAAACTTTTGTACTAACGAGTACACAGAACTTTCACAAGCTGCTTTCATGGCTTGCTATTTTTTTGCTTTCGATATTGAAAATCTGGTATCTGAACTTTCAGCGGTAAATATCGTACAAAGTTCATTTTGTAACTAAGTCATTTTTTTACATAGAGGTACTAAAAAACTACACTCTTTTAGTATATGTCAAAAAATAGAGGGTGTCATTTTAATTTTAAACCGGGATTGGCTGGGGGTGGTATCTCATATACTATTAATTTTCTTTCTACTTCACTAATGACATTCCAAAATTTCAAATCGATATCTTTTAAAACACCAGATATAATTATATTTAAAGTTTTCAAGCGGACACCCGATATACATCTTGCTATTGTTTTTGCGTCCATACATTTTGAATTTGCATATCTTTGTGCGTCCATATACAGAAGTATACATTTTACCCAATGTTAGAAACTTAGGTATGGTAATATTATTAAATTGGATGATCAATCGTTTTTTCAAAAAATAGTAATAGAGCGGGTGCGCTTTTTAGTTACACATGACATATTATACTTAGTTATGATTTTTCGCATGATATTGTTTCTGCATCTATACATTTTGAATTTGTCTATTTTTCTGCGTCCGTATATGGACGCACAAAGTTTAACCAATGTTGGAAACAAAAGTATGGTTGTTATATTAATAATTAAATAAGATAATTTAAAATTTTATCAAAAAAGAAATTAACAATATTAGAGTGGTGCGTTTTTTGGATAATAATTATATATTATACTTAGTAATAGTCTCTACACATGATGTGCATCTTGCTATTGTTTCTCCATCCATAAAAGTGTCCATATATCTATAGACACACAAAGTTTACTCAATGTTGGAAACAGAAGTATGGTAATATAAATAATTAGGTTAGATGATTAATAATTTTTTCAAAAAGTAACAATAATAGAACTGGTGCGTTTTTAAGTTACACATGACATATTATACTTAATAATGGTCTCGCATGATGTACATCTTGCTATTGTTTCTGCATCCATACATTTTTAATTTGTATATTTTTCTGCGTCCATTACGTATCCATATATGGAAGCACAAAGATTTCCCAATGTTGGAAACAGAAGTATGGTTATAATAATAATAATAAAGTTAGATGATTTATAACTTTATCAAAAGCGAAAGTAACTATAATAGAGAGGGTGCTTTTTTTAGTTAAACATGACATACTTAGTAATAATCTCTACATATTATTATATACATCTTGCTGTTTCTGAATTTTTTTAGTTAAATATGACAATATATTAAGTAAGAGTATCTATCTACATGCATACCTACTATATTTATAAGTCGGTAAAATATAAAAAAAGTTGAGTATTTTGAACAACAAATTAACAGCTCTCACAAATTCTCCATGTTTTATAATTAAAGTAACCTAGCTAAATGTCCTTTTAAAAATTATGAAATTGGTGCTAACGTAATGTAATTTTATTTGTAGCGTTTCCTTTATTTATGATATTTTTTGGCTTTAAGTTTTCACTTCTCTTTTAGGTTTTAAATATGTGGTCATCTCGAAGTTCGAAAATCATGACAATGGCGCGTAACAGCGTACTTGAGGAAAGCGATATCAGTGGTAGATCTGCAGGTTCTTCGCAACGTAAAAGTTCGAGTATCGGTAGTTTAAGTGACGTCCCAGAACAATTTCGAGATATAGTGAGAAATATAGATATAGATTCTCCACAATGTAATTAATACAAGAATCGTAGTAATATCAAACTGTTATAATTTTTATATATTTTAGCTTTCACCTCACCTACAATGCAACTTTCCCAAGAATATGTTACAAAAAACATAAATATTTCATCTACAGCGGAAAATGAACAATTACAAGGTAAAATAAAGTTCAATATTTCACTTCTTTAAGGTATCATTCCAGTAAATATTAATATTTTAATCAGACAACGTAGAGAATATTTTCTCCATTCGTAAGTTAAATCTGAAACAAATAAAATTATAGATAGGCATAAATTGAAAATCGGAATAGTGTCGCAGTCAATTAATTGTAGCGGACGTTTTTTTTTAAGATATTACCACTGACTCGAAATTAAAACCTCATGCTGCCACTAATTCTATTGAGATATATGGTTGTTATTCATATTTTAATTTTAGGACTAGAGATAACTTCAATGAAAAACTGCAGTTTAATTCCTGATAATAAAAACGATGCTGCTTTGAGGGATATTTCAAATAATTTGGACGAATACAAAAACCAAAAAATAGTAATACTGCAAGATATTATTATAGGGAATTCAAATGAACTATCAGAATGTAAGTAGCAATGATATCTACAGATATTAAGCAGTTGCATTTAAAGAAGAAACATTAATTTTTTATTTTAATTTGACTCGCAACACTTTACTTTTTAGCTGAGCCAGATATATTGTTTTCATCGGATTCGGATGAAGATCCCACATACTATCCCTCTGATTTAGAGTTTGAAGGAGATACTGTAAGAATTCATTTTTACGTTTATTAATGTCTTATGTGCATTATATTTTAAAATAAATTTAATATTATAACGAAATTCTTAACTACGGACTGCTTAATTCATTTTTTTAAATATGTTGTTACCTTACACATTATTTGGTTTATTTGCAGGAACAACGAGGTACAGGATTGCACATAAGACATGAAAATACTGAGAACGACCTTTCAATTGACAAAAGCCCTTCTCTTCAGTGTTTAGTAGTTTCGGTAATTAGCTTTTACACAATATCAATTAAACATTATTCTAAAACTGTATTCGTCTCTTTTAGACTTCTTCTAATGAACCTTCTTATTCTGAACAAATAAGTTCAACAGTTTTTACGGTAAAAATACAATTAAATAAAAAACAAAGTCATTTTAATTATATTTCTTTTTAGGAGGTAGAACAAGCAAACTCAAATTCTCGTGGACAGTGTGAAAAGTCCAGTAATTTGATAAAGACGTTAGACAAAAACAAGAAAGTTCATCGTTATCCAGACTTCTGTTTTTATTGTGAAAATGATGTACTTAACTTTGCTAGGCACGTTATACGCAATCATTCTAATGAACTTGAGCTTCAAAAAATTATTAGATTGGCCCCAAAATCTATAGAGAGAAAACGGTGCATTGCATCTTTACGAAAAAAAGGAAATTACTTAAAAAATTCATCGTATGTATTTAAACCGGTTCATAAAAGTTATGTAGACAAATCTGAAGAAAACTACGTTGCATGTCAATTTTGTTATGGACTTTATTCACGTAAATTGCTATGGAAACACACAAGAAGTTGCCCGGAAAACAAAAACCAGAGCAGTGGTTCCTCTCTAAGTAATGCCCAAAATTCAATGCTTCCAAAAATGGATATTAATTCTGACTTAAGAAATAAAGTTTTTCCTCGAATGCGTGCTGACAAAGTGTCTCTTAGGGCAAAGAAAGATTCTTTGATTTGCGCTTTTGGAGGAAGGTATTTAAATACCCACCGGGAACAACATCATATTAATGTTTGTTCCAGAAAAATGAGAGAGTTATCTAAAGTTTTAATAGAGTCTGTAAAACTAAATTCGGCAATTAAAAATCTATACGATTTGTTGCATCCTATGTATTTTGATACAGTTGTTGCAAGTGTAAAAATTATCGCTAAATACGATGCTCAAAATGATATTTATCTATCTCCTACTTTTGGTATGAACATAAGTAGAAGTTTAAAAGATTGTTGTGATATTGCCATATTGCATCTAGTTAAAAGAAAATACAATTTTCATAATGTAGCTGCTGCAGAGGCAGAAGCAAATATTACGACATTTAAAAGATTATTAGAAAGTAGTTGGATGCATGAAGTTTCTAGCCAAGCTGCAAGAGATTTAAATACAAAAACTTGGAACAAAACTACTATAATACCGTTGGCAGC